AGTAAGTGAATTTAGCAAGGTTGAAGGGCACTAGAATGACATGTTAAATCAATAGTATTTTTGTATACTAGTTTTGAACAACCTGAACTTGAAATTATAAAAGTCATACCATTTATTGTAGAATGAAAATATGAAGTATTTAGAATACATTCTCATATTTTTGAATGCTGAATTATCCTGATACCAAAAGCCAGACAATAATAACAGAAACCTATAGGCCAATATTCCTGATGAATATAGATGCAAAACCACACAACAAAATACTCGAAATTGAGTTTAGCAGTATATTGAAAAGATCATACACCATAAGCAAGTAGGATTGATCCCTCACATGGAAAGGACATGTGGAAATTAATATGGTAAAATACATTAGCAGAATAAAGGATAAAAATCATATGATCATCTCAATAGATGTAGAAAAAGCATTTAACAAAATTCAACAACCTCTTTGATAAAAACTCTTGAGAAACTGGGTATAGAAAGAACATACTTCAATGTAATGAAGGCCATGTATGACAAGCTGACAGCTAACAACATATTCAATGGTGAAAACTGAAAGCTTATCTTCTAAGATCAGGAACAAGGCAAATATGCCCACTCTTGCCACTTCTAGTCATAAAAGACTGAAAGTCCTAGCAGAGAAATTAGTCAAGAAAATAAATAAAAGGAATCCAAATCAAAAAGGAAGAAGTAAAATTACCTCTGTTTGCTGATGATTGATCTTATATGTAGGAAACTCCAAAGATTCCACCTCCCCACCAAATTAGAATTAATCAACAAATTCAGTAAAGTTTCAGGTTACAAAATAAATATTTGCCAAAGACAAAAATTAATAAAACAATCCCATTTACAATAGTATCAAAAAGAAGAAAATGCTTAGGAATATACTTAATCAAAAAGGTGAAAGATTTCTATGTGAAACTCTAAAATATTCATAAAAGAAATTGAAGACACAAATAAATGGGAAGGATATCCCATGTACACAGATTGGAAGACTTAAATATGTTGAATTATTGATAATAAATCAATCTATAAATTCAATCATGTCCCCATCAACATCTAAATGGTATTTTTACAGAAATAGAAAAAAAACTATCCTAAAATTCATATGGAACAACAAAGACTCCAAAAATAGTCAAAGCAATCTTGAAAAAGACCAAAGCTAGAGGCATCACATTTTCTGATTCAAAATATATTACAAAGCTACATGAATTAAAGACATATGATACTGGCATAAAGATAGACATATAGATGAATGGAACAGAATATAGAGCTCAGAAACAAAGCCTTGTATATACAATCAGCTGATGTTGGACATTGGTGCCAAGAACACATGATGGAGAAATAGTATTCTTCTCAACAAATGGTGCTGAAAAAACTGTATAGCCACCTGCAAAAGAATGTAGTTAAAACCTTATATCCAACAAATTAAAGATGACCTAAAGAAATGGAAACGTATCCCATGCTCTTGGATTAGAAGAATTAATATTGTTAAAATGTCCATACTGCCCAAGACAATCTACAGATTTAATGTGATCCTTATCAAATTACCCAGGACATTTTTACAGAACTAGAACAAACAATCCTAAAATTTATACAGAATCACAAAAGACCCAGAATTGCCAAATCAATGTTTAAGAAAAAGAACAAAGCTGGAGGAATAACCCTCCCAGATTTGAGACAATACTGCAGAACTACAGTAATCAAAATAGCATGGTATTGGTACAAAAACAGACATTTGGATCAATGGAACAGAATAGAAAGCCCAGAAATGAACCTATAAACTTTTGGTCAATTAATCTCTGACAAAGGGGGCAAGAACATACAGTGGAATAAAGACAGTCTCTTCAGCAAATGGTGTTGGGAAAACTGAACAACAGCATGTAAATCAATGAAGTTAAAATACTTCCTCACACTATACACAAAAATAAACTCAAAGTGGCTTAAAGACTTAAACATAAGACAAAACACAATAAACCTCCTAGAAGAAAACATAGGTAAAACATTATCTCACATTCACCTCAGCAATGTTCTCCTAGGGCAGTCTACCCAGGCAACAGAAATAAAAGCAAAAATAAACAAATAAGACTTAATTAAACTTATAAGTTTTTGCACAGCAAAGGAAACCATAAGCAAAACAAAATGACAACCTACAGAATGGGAGAAAATATTTGCGAAAGATGAGGCTGATAAGAGCTTAATTTCCTGAATATATAAACATCTCATACAATTTAATAAGAAAAAACAAACAACCCAACCCCAAAATGAATGGAGATCCTAAACAAGTGATTCTCCAATGAAGACATACAAATGGCAAAGTCACATGAAAAAATGCTTGATATCACTAATTATCAGAGAAATACAAGTCAAAACTATAATGAGATATCACATCACACAAGTCAGAATGGCCATCATACAAAAGTCCATGAACAATCAATGGTGGAGAGGGTGTGGAGAAAAAGGAACCCTCCTACACTTCTGGTGGGAATGTAGTTTGGGGCAGCCGTTATGGAAAATAGTATGGAGATTCCTCAAAAAACTAAAAATAGACTTACCATATGATCCAGTAATCCCACTCCTGGGCATATATATCAGAGGGAGCCTTAATTCAAAATATACGTGCACCCCAATGTTTATAGCAGCACTGTATACAATAGCCAAGACATAGAAGCAACCTGAATGTTCATTGACAGATGATTGGATAAAGAAGCTATGGTATATTTATATAATGGAATACTACTCAGTCATAAAAAATAATAAAATAATGCCATTTGCTGCAACATGGATGGACCTGGAGATTGTCATTCTAAGAGAAGTGAGCCAGAAAGAGAAATTAAAATGCCATATGATATCACTCATATGTGGAATCTAAAAAAAAAAAGACCACTATGAACTCATCTACAAAACAGAAACAGACTTGCAGACATAGTAAACAATCTTATGTTTACTGGAGAAAGGGGGTGGGAAGGGATACATTTGGGAGTTTGAGACTTACAAATTTAGCCACTGTATATAAAAATAAGATAAGAAAGAGTTTCTTCTGTATAGCACAGGGAACTGTGTTCAATATCTTGTAATAACCTTCAATAAAAAATATGAAAGCAAATATATGTATGTATATGCATGACTAGGACATTGTGCTATACACCAAAAATTGACACTTTGTAACTGTACTTCAATAATACTTACATAAATAATAAATAAATAAACAAATTAAATGATTGTAAAAAATAAATAAAATGAAACCTATATCCTATAAAAATAAGCTATAAATGGATTAAGAACTTTAAGACCTGAAACTTTAAAACTCCTGGAAGAAAACACGGGGGGAAAGTCCTTGGTATTGGTATTGGCAGTGATTTCTCAGATATGACACCAAAAAACTTAACTAAAGCAGAAATAGACAAGTGAGGAAAATCAAACTAGAAAGTTTCTGTCCACAAAGAAAGCAACTAACAGAATGAAAAGGCAAGCTACAACATATTTGCAAACCCTTTTTCTGATAAGAGGTTAAAATCCAAAATATATAAATAACACCTACAACTTAAATGTAAAAAGCAAAAAAACCTTATTAAAAAATGAGCACTTGAATAGACATTTCTCCTTAGAATACTGGTATATCAAATGGGGATCACATAGCTAATCATCAAAGAAACCCAAATCAAAATCACAGTGTTATATCACAGCACTCCTGTTAGGATGACTTTTATTTTTTAAAAAGGATAATTATTCGGTGACAATGTGGAGAAATGATTCTCTTGCACACTGTTGGTGGAATGTAGAATGGGGCAGTTTTTATGGAAAATGTTTGGAACATCCTCAAAACATTAAAAATAGAACTAAATTATGGTCTAGTAATCCTTTAGGGATATATCCTAAAGCATTGAAACCAGGATCACAAAGAGATATCTACACTCCCATGTTCATTGCAGCCTTATTCACAACAGCCAAGATGTGGAAACAATAAATCCATCATTGGATGAATGGAGAAAGAAAATTTGATTTATATATGTGCATACATACACACACAAAGAAATATTATTCAGCCTTAAAAATGGAGGAAGTTATGCTATACACAACATGATGAACCTGGAGGATGCTATACTAAGTGAACAAAGCCAGTCACAGAAGGAAGATACTGCATTATTCCACTTTTATGAGATATATAAAATAGCCAAACTCTTAGAAGCAAAGAGTAGAATGGAGGCTGCCAGGGCTTGGGAAAAAGGGAAAATACAGAGTTGCTCTTCAGTGGCTGTAAAGTGCTAGTCATAAAGATGAGTAAATTCTAGAGATATGATAGCTCTCTTGCAAAAGAGTACCTATGGTTGACAATAATATATTGTACACTTAAAATTTTGAGAGCGTAAATCTCACGTTAAGTGCTCTCACCACATTTTAAAAGAAGGTATGAAGTCAAAATATAACAAAGTGAAGAAAATATTAAACACATAATTAGTAAATGTTTAATGGCCTTAATTTGCAAAAATCTCTACAAGTAAGTATCAGATTTTATAATTTTCACTTATCTGAAGATTGTGAAGTGATATCTCATTTCAGTACTGTTAAGATCTCCCTAATTACTAGCCATTTTTTAATGCCTAATACTAGAATTTTTTAAAAATATAGACTTCAGTCATTAGATGTATTGAATTTCCTATGTATATATTTTGCCCATTTTCATTGTGTTACAAACCTTAGAAACACTAGTGTGTAGGCTTATTCATGTTTGTTAGCTACTAATACTTTTCAGTGTGGCGACTTACTGCTTAATGATGGTTGTGGTGTTTCTTTAAACAGAAACATAATCTTTTCTCATTCATTTGTGGTTTTGTTGTGACTTGTTGCAACATGGATGTTCCTGGAGAATGTCATTCTAAGTGAAGTAAGCCAGGAAGAGAAAGAAAAATACCATATGAGATCGCTCATATGTGGAATCTAAACAAACAAACAAACATAAATACAAAACAGAAACAGACTCACAGACATAGAATACAAACTTGTGGTTGCCAAGGGGGAGGTGGAGGGGAAGGGACAGACCGGGATTTCAAAATGTAGAATAGATAAAACGAGATTGTACTGTGCAGCACAGGGAAATATATACAGGATCTTGTGGTGGCTCACAGCAAAAGAGAATGTGACAGTGAATGTATTATTTCATGTATAACTGAAAAATTGTGCTCTACACTGGAATTTGACACAACATTGTAAAATGACTATAACTCAATTAAAAAAATGTTAAAAAAGATAAAAACTAGAAATCCAAAAAACAAGTCTTCCCTGTTTGATACCATATTTTTATTCTAAAATTTGAAAATGTTCCATTTGTATATTTGATTACTTCCAATCATACCTATTTCAACATCATTTTGTGTTCATTATCATGGCTTATTTTTGATTTTCATTAGGGTGAGTTTTACTGACCTTACTTTTTTTCATAAAACTTGCATAGTCTTGGTTCAATTTTCTTTTATATATAAAGATACTACTCTTTCCCCCATCAAGTTGTATTTGAACTTTTGTGGGAAATCAGTTGCCTGTATATCATGTGATGAATTGTTTCTACATTCTCAGTTCTGTTCCACTGATCTATATGGTTATCCTTCTGCACATACCACATGTCCTGATTGGTGCCGCTCTGTAATAAGTTGTGAAATCAGAAAGTATGAGTCCCTCAACTTTATTCTCCTTTTTCAACATAATTTTGGCAATTCTTTGTCCCTTGAATTTCTCTAAGAATTTTAGAATCAGCTTGTTAATTGCAAAAAAAAGCCAACTAGTATTTTGGCAAGTATTTTGTTGAATAAAAACACATCAGTTTGAAGAGTATTGCTATCTTAACAATATTAAGTCTTCAAGTTCATAAACATGTGATGTCTTTGCATTTATTTGGGTCATCTTTAATTTCTTTCAACAATGTTTTATAGTTTTCAGAGTATATGTTTTATGTTTATTTTGTTAAATTTGTTCCTAATTTTATGTTCTCTTGATGTCATTGTAAATGTAACTGTTTTCCTAATTTCATTTTTGGATTGTTCATTGCTAGTGTAGAAATGCATTCGATTCTTAGATATTTTGTATTGATGTTGCTCTTGCAGCTTTAGTGAACTAATTTATTATTTCTAGTTATATTTTTGTAACATTCCATAGGATTTTTCATATACAATATTATTTCAAGTGCAAATAGAGTTCTACTTCTTTCCAATCTGGATGCCTTTTACTTCACTATATCACTTAACTGCCCTGGACAGACCCTCTAGTGGAATGTTGAGTACAAGTTACAAGAGGGGGCATCCTTGTATAGTTCCTGATCTTAGGGGAGAAGAACTTAGTGTTTCAACCAAGTATTATGTTGGCTGTGGACTTCTCACAGATGCCCTTTAGCAGGTTGAATAAATATCCTTATACCCCTACTTTGTTGAGTGTTGCTATAATAAAGGATGTTGGATTTTATGAAATGCTTTTCTTGGGTCTATTGTGATCATTGCGTGGCTTTGTCCTTCATTGTATTAATGAGTTATTACATTGCTCATTTTTCTGATAGTAAGATATCCTTGAATTCCTGGGAAAAATGTCAGTTTATAATAATGTAGCATAATTATCTATGTTGTTGGATTCTGTTTGCTAGTATTTTGTTGAGAATTTTTGCATCTATATTCATAAGATATATTGATCTCTAGTTTTCTTTTGTTATGATGTCTTTGGCATTGGCATTAGGGTTATACTGACTTTATAGAATGAGCTGGGAAGTATTTACTGCTTTTCTGTTTTTGGACTAGTTTGTACATAATAGCTTGTATTAATTCTTCTTTCAATATTTGGTGGAATTCACCAGCAAAGCCATTTGGGCCTGAACATTTTTGTGAAACGTTTTTACATTACTAATTCAATCTCTTAACCCATTATACAGCTATTCAGATAATCTATTTCTTTGAGAATCTATCACAGTAGTCTATGTTTTTCTAAGGATTTGTCCATTTTATCTAAGTTATCTAATTTGTTGTCATATAATTTATAGTATTCACTATAATTTATTTCATTTCTGTAAGGTTGGTCATAACGTCCTCTTTTTCATTCCTCATTTAAAATGCTTTAGTCTTCTCCCTTTTTTCTTGGTCTATATAGCTGAAGTTTTGTCAATTTTGTTGATCTTTCAAATAACCTTTGGCTCATTGGTTTTCTCTATTTTTTATTATCTAATTTATTAAATTGTGCTCTAATATCTATTGGTTCCTTCCTTCTGCTGGCTTTAGGTTTAGTGTACTCTTTTTTTTTTCTACTTGGGACCAATTTTTAGTATTTTATTTTCAACTTTTGATCCCAAACATGCAGACAGTATAAATTCAGCCTCAAAATAAGCAAGGAACACATTACTCGCCATCAATTCACACTCTTACTTTTCTGGTTTATTATTCCCACTTTATTTATTTGACCTAAATAATTTTCTTTCTATATATTTTTAAGCTAACATTTCTTGGTACTTTGACAGGATAAATCTCTGTTACAAACCAATAATCCCATTCACATCACTTACTATTTGTGGTTAGAGGAAAGTTGGGGCTCAGAACTTCTCCTCCCTGACAGTCAATTCTTAAGGATGAAGGAGAAGTAGACCACATGTGGGTAAGAAAGAATTCTGCTTATACCTTTAGCATTGAAGAGTAGAATATGGCTTTGGGTAAAGTCTCCATATTGGAGGATGTTTGCTTTGCAGAAATGAATATGAAATATAATTATAGAAGTATTAATTTTCTGAATCTAAGTTGTTTGACTATGTCTTCAAGTAAGCTTACATGTAACTTGCTCATTAACATAGAAATGCCTTTCTAATAAAAATGTTATATTCAACAGCAATAGATATTTATAATAAATTATTTTAGCAATCTCACTATTAATAGAGAAAAGCTAACAGAGAATGACACCATGTTCTAACTTTTATTGTTATTTTTATGCAAATTATTTATAAATTATAGAATTGATATTTTTAAAAAATTCATATGAACTGGACACTGGTAAAGTAAAATCTTTTTATCTCCCAAACTTCTAAGATCTTAAAAAAAATCACTCTTTACTGTGTATCTCATTTCTTTGTCTACAAAATATGATTAATGACATTAATCTGGGGACAATTTATAGCAAAGATGCAAGCGATGGAGCAGAATCTGAAATGTAATTTCTGCCCCTTATCAAGGAAAACTTGTACAATAAAAGACTGCATTATTCAGATGCTGAATATCCCAAGTGCTTCATGTTATTGGAACTGTGGGTATGCTGTAGAAAGTCAAATAGTTCACTATGTGAAATCCGTCTTTTTTTTTTTTAATTAATACTTTGGAGAGAAAGAGATATCAATTAGATCAGATGTCTTATTGTTTTTCGTTTACCATATTTATAAATGCTTTGCTCTAGGTTTTGCCTAATTATATTTTTGGGTTCCTGTATACTTTTAATCTAGGTGAAATAATGAGCATGCTTCCAAACACTGAATGCTAAGTAAAGCCTGTTCGTTGCCCTTGGAAAAGGTTCTATTGTCATATTTGGTGGCCCTGTATTTTAGCTCCCGTCATTTTTCTGGTAGCCAAGGTACCAGCTCAGCTGCCAGGAAACCAAAGCACAGCAAAGGAAAGGATAGCTTCAGTAAGTCTGATATTCACCGCTAATTGTTAGCAAGCTACATGAAAAATAAACCTGAGCATGAATGAAATACACTTAATCTTTTAAATCAGATAAAGAAGAAAGAAAAACCAGTGAACCTGTGTCTGGCTTTAGAACACTGTTCACCTCCAAACAAAACTTACCCTATAGATTTATATATTTTTTAGTAGAATCTTTAAAAAGATCCTAGATTTACCCTTTCCTTTTGACTCCTGGGCTTAAGAACAAACTATATCCTCACCATTTTAAAATGTAGAGTTTGAGGCGTTCCAATTGTTGGGCCTCCTTTTCTTTATACCTAACCCAACTCAGAACCTTCTTATCACACTGTTAGCATGTTTTAAAAATCTAAGTAAGAGCTACATAATGGTTAGAATAACAGTAAGATCCTTTGACAGCTGGGACTGTGTTGTACCATTGGATGCATTCAGTAAGTATCTGTTCAACAGATAAAGTAGAAAAATACGAATTTATGAAAATCACAAATTGTCTATCAAGAACATAGCAGCTGCCAGCTGAAGTATTTTAGGAAGCTTTTGGTAAGTGGAATATGCAAAAGGAAAGTGTTCAGGTATCATCCATAGATTACTCAAGTCACAGAAAGAAAGAGTCCAGTGTAGAAGCATTTTTTCCCCTTATTTCCCAAAAGAGTAAAATCAGAAAAACAAATGAGATACCCATTTATATTAACATTGGTTCAAGCTATTCTTTTTGTTTGCTTGTTTGCTAAAGTTGGCACAAAGAAGTGAATACTTTCCCAATATAGTCATCATCAGGCATCCTCCCCTGCTATCATCTGGACTCTGCACAAATTAAATATTAGCTTTAGGAGAGAAGACAGGTAAAAATCATCATCTTGCTCAAATTTCCTACTTCTTGTCACTGAAAGCAGTTCACAAATGTACATAAATGGGAAAATATAATGTGTGATTCTCTTCTTGTCTTTTGATATAAGAGAAATTTCTGAGAAGAAAAAATTTTAAATGTTAGAAAGGAAAAGGTTTATTGGAACTCTCTGCCATCCAAAATAACAATATCAATTGTAATAATACTTCCTTGTTCAGGCCTTACAAAGTCCCACATAGAGGAAGTCACACCTTTATTACTGACTCTTATAAAAGCAAAAATGGACAAGAGAAATGAATACTTTTAATCTCTTAAGAGTGTATTATTTATGGTCTTCCAAATCAGTAGTCTTTAAGGGTGAATAACCATTAGAACCTCCACTCTTCATACTGTAGTGTTATCACAGTCTCCACAAAAGTGCTGTAATTTCAATTAGTCACAAAGTATCACCATGTAAGCCTTTACTCTATAGCAAACATGGAGCCCATTGTTGGAGATACAGAAGTAAACGTAAGTGTGTCCTTGCTTTCAGGGTGATTGTCTTAGTCCGTTT